GGGGGGGAGTCTTGTGTGTCAGCATCTTGGACCTTTTATCCAGTGCGGCCATGTATATATATACGGAAAGCCATGAACTCACGTGCAGGTGGATCGGGTGCGGCCCCGGCGACGGGTTGGTGATGAGCCAGTACGTCCAGTGGTCCTTGTTGGGCAGCTGGATGACGTTCTGGCTGCGCGGGAGGCCGCCCGTGTTGCCCTCGTGCACGTACTGCAGCACCGGCTTCTCCCACTGCACGTCGATGGCGCTGCCGTTGACGGTCCAGAAGACGCGCGACGACTCGGCGTCGACGTCGAGCGCCACGGCCAGCGCCGACGCGGCCGCGTCGCGCCCAAAGTCGGCCACGGCCGCGTCGACGGCCACGACGGGCTGCAGGTCCGCCAGGTCGGCGCAAAAGGTGTCGGGCGGCGGGGTCCCCGGGCCCGCGGGCAGGGCCTCGGGCTCGGACCCCTCGTACGTCAGGATGGCGGCCGGGAACGGGTTCTCCGACTGGCCGCACGTCGGGACGCTCGAGAAGGTGGCGTTGATCCAGTAGCTGCCGCCGCCCTGGTTGGCCTCCACGACCACATCGTACCGCTGCCCGATGCCCATGAAGAGGCTGGTGGTGGTGAAGGGCTGCACCGGCACGAAGTCGGCTTGGATCACCTTCATGTTGTGGCCCGAGATGGACATAGTGAAGGTGTTGTCGGCCGAGGGGTTGATGAGCCTCAGTCGGTGTCTGTGATGGAGCCAGCGCATCAGTCAGTCAGTCAGTCAGTCAGGTGCGACCATAGACACCTAGTAGATATCTACCCTTCTTGAGAAGACATAGCAGGAGCAAGCAAAAACTCACGTCTTGCCAGGGGTCACCATGACCCGGGCGTACTTGCCGCCAGGGCCCTTGGGGTTCACATTGGTCCCGTTAAAAAGCAAATTGTCGCTGGACGGGGCCGAGGCGGGCTGGCCCGGCACGAAGGGGTCGAGCGAGCTCATGGCGCGGGCCAGCAACTTGTCGACGCTCGGATAGTACCAGTCCGAGATGGGGAAGGGGCCGAGGTCGACGTCGTAGGGCGCCGCGGCCGGGCCGTCGATGACGAGGCTGCCGGTGGTGCCGTAGGCGTACTGGCTCGACACGTGCGTGTGGTACCACGTCGTGCCGTACTGGCTGGCCTGGAACCGGTACGTCTTGCTCTGGCCCGGCGGGATCGGGCACTCGGTCACGCCCGGGACCCCGTCGTTGGTGTTGGTCAGGTACTGTCGGAGGCCGTGCCAGTGGATGCCGGTGCTGAGTTTGTTAGTGAGGGGTGCTCTCGCTGCTTGTTGTTTCCATCTCTATCTATATCAGGGTGTGAAGGCATACCCATTCAGTTGCAAGTCGTTGAAGACGGTGACCTCGAACCAGTCGCCCCAGTCTGGTGCAAATATGTTCTCGTCAGCTCGCAGACCCGGCAAGGGTTAAGTTGAACAGAAAATCCTTTCAATACATACCTGTCCTCAGTGTAGGACCCGGGAACTGGCCTGCAAAAAGTAGAACGGTCAGTAGACATTTCTCAGCCACAAAAAACACCAGTTCCGTTGCCCGATCATCACGCACCATTCACCAACATCGCCTTCTCCTTGATCGCGCCATCAGCTCCGAGGTAGTTGTCGACCTCGGTGAGGTGAAGGGTGTACTGGATCTTGGTGTCAGCGTCACTCAGGAGCCTACTCCCTCCAGAGCAGGGAAAAGAGGACACGACTTCTTACCTTCCTCGTGACGTTGGTAACCGGCACCTTCCCATAGTAGTCGGTGTGGATGTCGAACCCATCCGTGTTCCAGCACGCCCGGTTGGACGCACTGCGGCAGTCGGTCTGGCGGACCGACGACTTGTGCAGATTCCCCGGCCGGGTAGTGGCAGCCGCAGCCCCAAAGCTGGGGAACAGCAGAAGCGCAATGGCTGCCAAGGACAGCCCGTTGGCGTGCATCGTGAGTTGGGCTTGACTAGAGGGTGCCGACGGGAGCCAAGAAAGGGGAGATGGCGTTGGCGGATGATGCCAAGAGCTGCCAGTGGAATAAGGGGGCCCTTCTGGAAGGCTTTTAATATCGAGGGACGGACGAGAATAGAAGCCGGCGCAGCGTCTGTGCGGATCTTGCGGCAAATTCGGCATGCACGTCGTCGCCATGGGCTTCGGACGCGGAGAGGGGAGGACGCACGCCCTCTGGTCCGAACACTGGAAATCGATGCTTTTATAAGCCTAAAGAGCCATATGCGGGGCCCCTCCCGGAGACACAAGAGCGCATGCATGCACGCACGCAGGCTTCTACGCTCCTCCAGGTCCGACTCCAAAGGGAGGGGGCAAGAAAAGGGGACAGAAACGCAAGCTGACTGCGTCCTCTCCTCGCGTCGTTGTTTTACACATGCTCGCCAACGGCCACGCTGCGCAGCGCTGCTGCATCTTGCACGCAGCAAGGGCGTTCTCATCCTGCAGCTTATTCCCACCAGTCATCTGGGAGTGGTATTTCCTATACTCAGCACTTATGCGCCGTGATGGACAGAACCGCCAGTGTCGTTTCGTCATGGCGTCGGTGTGTGCTGGCTCGCGGAAACGCAGTGAGACGCTCGGGCGAGAGGGGGCGAAGATGCGAGAGGCGCACGCAGCGTGCAGGAGAACGAGGGCCGCGCTCGCATGTTGGCCTCACTTTGCTGTAACCTTGGATGCAGGGGAGGCGGTCAGCCGTGTAATGGCGTGGTCACATGGAGGAGGGATCTGCTCGACGGCGCGGAGAAGCCACGATGGCATCGTGGCGTCGAGACCACGCAGGCGATTTGGGCTTCAAGCTGTGGCTCCGCCTCGTCAGAGATGTTCCCAGTTTTCGGCTTTTCGCGTTCCTGGGGGCTGGTGTGTTAATATTGGATGAGACGGCAACTCTAACCCGGCGGGCGGTGGACTTGGGATTCTCCCAAAGCTTGAAACCGGACGAGCTCTTTTCGGTTCGTCTGGATTAGTGATGCCGCGTGCAGGAGGCTATGGATAGCTGCATGAGATGTTGCTCAAAAGTACGTCGGCTAGCGCCAAGAGCATGGGCAAGGTGTAGAACAAACGGCCGCTAGCGTAGCCTCTGCGGTTAGACGCTGCGAGACATCGGGTGGTTGGCCACTTGTCGGGGCCGAGGAGCAACAAAGGTGAATCGATGGCAGAGGCCGGCCTTTGTGTGCCGTCACTCGACGTCAGCCAGCCTTGGGTGCCGACATTGTATGACAAACAGTTTATGTGGAAAAGATAGGTGAATTGGACTCTCGGATTGTGAGCTAAATATCACGCCTTTTGAACTGTCGTGAGAAGGATAGCCGCAGCACACCCATGGATAATTCAGACCACAATCGATTTATGAGGCATTTGAGCTTGTCAGAGGAGCCTTGCCTGTTTTGTTTTGTTGCTTTTTTTATTATTAAAAAAAACCCCCAACCGAGAGAACTCGGGAACACATTTTCGATTGAACCCCACGCAAAGTCGGGCAGAGCTGGTGACCTGGGCGTACCTTTCTGCATCAAACAATCTGTGGAGAGACGAGGCTAGAAAATGGAATAAAACGTCCAGGGCTATCACCTATAAGCGAATACCGAGATGCAGATGCTATCTTACCTCAACAAAGGTCACACGGCGTGAAAGCGGGGAGCAACCACGTTGAAGCTCGGGAAAATGCCACCTAATTTTCATCTGTGCCTCATGTCGTGCTCCTCTCACTTATTGACGCCCTGATATGTGCCACTCAAGCTGAGGCCTGTCTCTGAGGGTGGCTCACTCGAATAGCTTCATTAGGTAGCTTGGGGGGGAATTGGTTACATCTCTTGCAAGCAGCTTGTTCTTGGTCGGAAGGGGGGCGCTGATTGTTATTGCTATCGTTGAAACAAGGCTAGTCAAGCATTCATTGTTTGGATGACATCAATTGACTTTCGCATTGTCTCCACACTAGACATGTTTGAAGTCACAGATCCTGACCATGTATTGCCCGCAACAGCGGACAGTCAACCAGTCAAAATGCCCCAGCGATCTACATATGCCGTTGAATTTGTAAGGTATAACCTAAGTGCTGCCTTTCATCGTTTACCGAGTTACCGAGTTACCGAGGCTCGGCGCTCGCGATGCAGCATCCCTGGATTTCTTGACACGGCGGCACACCCCTTTTCGGCCACGGCCGACAATTGCTCGCATTCTGCTTGATGCCGGGGCCCACAAACATGGCTCGCCGATTCAGGGACCGGCATGGAATCCTTGTTAATTATTAATCAGTGGATTGACGGCCTTGAGCCCGCCGAGGACCCCTTCGTCACAGCCGGGATCCGGGCGAAGGCGCGGTGTGTATATAAGTTGGCTGCGGGCTGCGTCTCCCAATACATATTATCAATATTGAAATCATACCGAGCTTGGCTGTTGCTTGACCCGCCCACCAGACAGACCCCTTCCACCGCCAGTGTTGTCTTCATTCCGAGACGCCGTGAACAAAGACGAGATGCCGCAGCAAAGGGTCGAGAGCGAGAGGGTTGACCCTTCACCCCTCGGGCAGCCACTGAAGTTCGAGTTCAGCGGTAAGACGGCCAAGAACCGCTTCCTCAAGGCCGCCATGACGGAGCGCCTGTCGTCCTGGGACCCCAAGGACCTTTCCAAGCGCGGCGTGCCGACGCCCGAGCTCGCCAACGTCTACCGCCGGTGGGGCGAGGGCGGCTTCGGCGTCATCCTCAACGGCAACATCATGATCGCACCCGACCAGCTGGAGGGCCCCGGCAACGCCATCATCACGGCCGGCGCGCCCTTCTCGGGCGAGCGCTTCGAGGCCTTCAGGGAGGTGGCGACGCAGGCCAAGAAGCACGGGAGCCTGTTCATCGCCCAGGTGTCGCACCCGGGTCGCCAGGTCTGGGACCGCGTCAACCCGGCACCCATCAGCGCCAGCGACGTCCAGCTCACGGGCAAGGCGATGGGCCTGACATTTGCCAAGCCGAGGCCCATGGAGAAGAAGGACTTTGACGAGGTCATCGGCGGCTTCGCCCACGCGGCCGAGTACCTGTACAAGGCTGGCTACGATGGCGTCGAGCTGCACGGCGCCCAGTGAGTTCACCCCAAAGTGAGAGGGGAAAAAAAGACGAGCAAGGTGTTGGAAGCTAACACGCCTACTACTTTCCTAGCGGCTATCTTCTGGCACAGTTCCTGTCCCCGACCACCAACAAGCGCACCGACCAGTACGGCGGCTCGTTGGAGAATCGGTCCCGCATCATCTTCGAGATCGCCGACGCGATCCGGGCGCGGGTTCCGGACCCGGCCTTCTCGCTAAGCATCAAGCTCAACAGCGTCGAGTTCCAGGACGGCGGCTTCGCGCCCGAGGACTGCAAAGCCCTGTGCGCGGCGCTAGACAAGCACGGCTTCGACTTCGTCGAGCTCTCGGGCGGCACGTACGGGGCCAACGGCTTCAAGCACCACCGCGAGTCCAGCAAGAAGCGCGAGGCCTTCTTCCTCGACTTCGCCGACGCCATCGCGCCCGAGCTGACGAGGACCAAGTGCTACGTCACGGGCGGGCTGCGCTCCGTCGCCGGCATGGTCAGGTCCCTGGACACGGTGCACGGCATCGGCCTGGGCCGCCCCGTCACGCACGACTTTGACCTGCCGGCCAAGATCCTGGCCGGCACCGTCCTGGGCGCCCTCGCTATCAAGTTCGACGAGGAGGACATGCGGCTCAGCGTGGCCGCGTCGGGTCTGCAGATCAGGCTGGTCGGCAGGGACAAGCAGCCCCTGGACCTGAGCGACGACAGGCACATGGGCATCCTCTACGCAAGTCTTGCAAAGTTTGCGCAGGAAATGGCCGACAACGCGGAAAACTCCAAGTTTGGCTTCGCTGATCCGGTTGGGCTGGAGGTGCAACCGTATGGCACTCTGTATAATTTAGAGTTTACTTCTAACCGGCTCTAGGACTTGGGAAAAACGCGGCTACTGGGATTGTACCTTTTTGCGCGCGCGTGGGATTAATTTGCAATTTAAATCCTTTTATAAAAGTGGTTATTGGAGGTGCAGATACCACTTTTATTTAACCTCCCGTTTAGTTGCGGGTTAAATGTGCGTGGGGCGGGCACCCTCTAGTAGATATGGTAGCTCGACACACTAGAATCGATGCCTTTGTGTAGATCGGATATAATGAGGAGACAATCTCACCCTTCACGTATGCGCAGCTACAATGCTAATTCCCTCCCGGCTAGACTTGCAAATAAACGGCATCTGTGTTGCCAGGCTTCATTGTGTAAGGGTATGTGCGCCTGCATTCTTCAAGATATCTCCTTTGTCTTCGTTCACCTGTGCCAAGCAGGCCTTATGTGGAGGCCAGAGCGATATTGGAGTTCGATCTCGGTGATCTTCTTGACGAGGATGCGAAGAGTGTCGGGGCCTATATCAAGAGTCTCGCGGATGGGTATAAAGTTGTTGGACTGCTTAGGTAGCCAGCCTTGATCCTGTTCGAGGATGAAAGGGGGGAAGGCTATGGATGGTAGGATAGAGGGCTGGCAAGATGGAAAAGGACGGAAGTCTCTGTTCCTGTTTGGTATATATTTTGGACCCTGTGGGATGGTAGCGGGACCTTCGAGGGCCTGGACGGCCGTGCCTGATAAGTTGGGTCAGGTGCGTCACTTCCTCAGGCAGGACGCGCCGTGCTTGCCTCCTGCCTGGCGACCCGGCAACCCTGGGACGCGTCGGGCAGCCTTCCCAGGACGTGCCCACAAATTTGGACTTGATAAGTTCTTTTCAAATTCCCCAACTGGTGCAAAACCTTTTCTTCAACCGACACACGCACTTCGACCCTTCACAAGCTCAGACTATCTCGCACGCAACCGCCACACAACGACTAGCTAGCTACCAAGGTAAGCACCCCATTCACTAGACTGAAATCATTGCATTCCTCTCCTGTCAAGTCAGATCAGAGACTTCTCTTCCTTGGCCCAGTCTCGACCTGGCTTCACCCGAGCATGAACACCCCGTCCCTTTTCTCACACTCCCCTCGCCCCCAACCTTGCCTTGACCTCGACTCACCCCAAGCGCGACTTTCTCCTGCTGTAGGGAGTTATTACTGACCATTATAGCCAACATGCACCTGTACGCTGCCCTCGGGGCTGCTCTGTGGGTGACCACAGGGCTTTACGAAATCGCAACCCTCGTGCGGGAGCATCACCCAGAGGCACAGCTGGGCAAGGAGAAGCCTGCTCTTCTGCAGCTGCTGTCCAGCGTGCAGATTCTGCCCAGCCTGGAGAAGCTGGTGACGATGCAGAAGCTGCCCACCGTCGAGCCGAGAGCTGATATCAAGAAGAAGAACATGGTGTACTTTGCCAATTGGTAAGTTGAAACGGCGGCGTCTTTGAAATATCAACTTCCTGAACTGACAGCTGCATCACTGCGAGCACAGGGATATCTATGGCCGCAACTATCGTGCGAAGGATATCCCGGCCGAGAAGGTGACGCACATTCTCTACTCTTTCGCCAACCTGCAGCCCGACGGAACTGTGTAAGCTCTCCCAAAAAGGTTTCCCAGAATACAGAGTGAGAGGGCGTGCTGACCATTCTCACCTTCGCCCAGCATCCCGGGTGGAGGCGATGCCGACACGGTCGCCCACGACCCCGCGGACGCGAGCTACCTGGGCCCGGGCAACAATGCCGACGGCTGCGTCAAGGAGCTGTTCGCGCTCAAGAAGGCCCACCGCCACGTCAAGGTTCTCCTCAGCATCGGCGGCTGGAGCTGGTCGCACAACTTCGCCAGCGCCGCCGGCTCGGCCGAGAACCGCGGCCGCTTCGCCAAGACGGCCGTCGAGCTGCTCGCCGACTGGGGCCTCGACGGAATCGATATTGACTGGGAGTATCCCAAAAATGAGGCCGAATCCGAGAACATGCTGCAGCTGCTGATCCAGCTCCGCGAGGCCCTGGACCTCCACGCCGCGGACCACGCGCCGGGCTACCGCTTCCTACTCACCATGGCCGTCGGCGCCGGCCCGGAGCACTACAACATCATGTCCAGGCACCTCGGCCGCATGGGCCTCCAGGTCGATGCCATGAACCTGATGGCCTACGACTTTACCGGCAGCTGGGACGCCAAGAGCGGCCACCAGGCCAACCTGCGCGCCAGCAAGGCCAACCCGGACTCGACGCCCTTCTCGGCCGAGCGCGCCGTGGCCGACTACCTCGCGCTCGGCGTCGCCCCCGACCGCATGGTTCTGGGCATGCCGCTGTACGGTCGCAGCTTCGAGAACACGGACGGCCCTGGCCGGCCCTTTGCCGGCACCGGCCCGGGCTCGTACGAGCAGGGCATCTGGGACTACAAGGCGCTGCCGCTCCCGGGCGCCGTCGAGACGGTCGACGCCGAGACGGGCGCCGCCTACAGCTACAACGCGGCCGCGAGGGAGATGGTGAGCTACGACACGGTCGAGACTGTCGCCCAAAAGGTCGCTTACATCAAGGACCTCGCCCTCGGCGGCGCCATGTTCTGGGAGGTCTCGGGCGACCGCGCCGGCGAGCTCAGCCTCGTCGCCGCCAGCGCCGAGAGGCTCGATGGCCTGGACCGGACCGAGAACCTGCTCAAGTACCCGACCAGCAAGTACGACAACATCCGCGAGGGAAATTAAGCAGCTTGCCCCTCCACGCATGGCTCGCCGATTCTCACAGCGATTGGAGTCTTTGGCTCTTCTAACTTGTTCTATTTCTTCCTTCTTGTGTTAATAGTCACGAAGTTACGACAGGTTATTTGTCCCCTGGGTGGGCGCTTTGGGGAACCAGGATGGATGGGAAGGTATCGAGACGATATGGTTCTGCCAGGTATTGAGGTAGTCGCCTACGGATAGTGTAATGAGATTTGTATATGATAAAATCAGGTGGACACGATTCTAGCTACCTACGAGATAGGCACCTACCTGTAGGCGCCAGGCAGCTCAAACAAAAAGAAAACACTTGGAGAAAGTAACAAAAAGTCCCCACGCGTGCGCTCACACGCCGCTCACGCAACAACCCTCGCCAGCGCCGCCGTCCAGTCCAGCACGGTAAACACTACGTCCAGCACCGTGATGCGGTCCAGTCCCTTGCCCATGATCCAGCGATCGGACCGGGCGCCGATTGTGAAGTTGAGGGCGGCCTGGGAGAAGTTTGCGAGCCCGAGCACGGCCAGCGCTGTGACGTCGGGGGACAAGGACGACGACGATGACGACGACGCATCCCCCACCATGTCCCGCGACGGCGACGGGCGCGCGACCGCGTACAGCCGCAGCAGGGCCAGCAGGGCCAGCGACGTGTTCATGCCGCCGAGGTAGGCCATGATGTCGTGGTGCCACGCGTCGCCCGCCGGTGAGGCCGCGACGGCCGTGCCGCTGGCATGCCGGCGCCGCGAGAGCTTGCGCATCATGAAGGGCTGGCGGAAGCCAAAGTGCACAAAGGCGCTAAGGGGGGGAGAGGCCGGTTGTCAGTCAGTGAAGCAGTTCTCGACCGGTGCTAGAAAAGGGGGGCTGTCTTGCCTCGTAAACCACAGCTGAGCGTCTCAGGATAGTGTCAGTCTCGAGGGTCGTGTCTGCAGCTTGACCTTGGGTCAAGGACTTACGGCATTTCCGGCGTAGATAGCCTGGGTTAGGCCGGGGCTGTTGAGTGCGGAAAGCACGAGCATCTTGAAACAAGTTGATACGATGGCAGTAGCGCCGCTATCGTTTTCTGTTTTGACCTAGCAGTGTTTTGTTTGCAAGACGGCTCAGAAACGGCAGCATGTTCTACGAAGTGCAAAAACAGCAATCATTCTGAATGCTACACTCGATTCCAGCCCACATGACATCAGCTTACATCTCCTGCTGCTCTCGTCGCAAGCCGAGGTGGAGGCTGATGTCCGTCCAGTCCCACCACATCTTCCCCGATGTCAGCTGCCAAGTCTGCAGTCTAATGCAATATGGCTCGAGAGATCTTGAACCAAAATCACACAAGTCTCGGGGAGATCTCTGGGGGGACGTGATTGCGCGCATAGAATCGTTGAATTTGCTCCTATCCTGCGGTATATCTGGGTATATCTGTGTATATCTATGCTGACGATGCCGCCTATTTACAAAAGCACCCTCTCACAAGGATTGCTAAAAGTTGTTCTGTATCAGTTGACCAACTAGGCTGTTGCCGACAGGCAGCTCCGGGAAGTCCATGTAGATAATCCCAAGCGCCCTGCTCGCCTGTTTGTCTAACGCGGGGAGAGTGCTTGTCACGTACTCGGCAGTCAAGGCGTTGACGCCGTCCAGCCACTTCCGCCCCCAGCCGACAAAGGCGCCCGCCGCCACCGATTTGGGGTCTGCTACCTCTCCGTATTTTAACCGCTCCCCAACGGCCGAACAAAAGTTGATATACCAGAGGTCATCATCGTCTTGGTGAGCGCCTGTGCCCTCTCCGGACTCTCGCAGCAGCCTTCTCGACCTGCTCCGTCGGCTTTCGGCAGCAGCCTGCTCGATCATGTACCTGACGTGGGCGCTCTTGGAAGCGATGAGCTCCTCCAGGGGCACCCGCTTGGGATATAGCCATTTGTCCTGGACTCTAAACCGATTGTGTGGCGAGATGATGGTGAAATCGGGGCTGTCGTTGACCCAAGCCGACAGGTCGAGGCCGAGGGGTTCCGCAGGGCTAACTCCCCCGGCAGGGTCAGGCAACGGGAAGCGGCGCAAGAGGACGGCGCGCCCGCGCACCTCGCCCAGCGTAGGCGTCCTTGCCTCGGTGTACCAGCGGGGTGTTGAGACGCCGCTTCTCGAATCAGCTCTCCCCTGTCCGTTGCCTTTTGCGGCCTCATCTGCCCCTCCATCTTGCCACGGCGGCGTGGCTGCGACAAAATCCTCAACTGCGTGGTAAAAGGCTGCACGGCCTGCCGGGTCGCGGCCGTCAGAAGTGTCATCATTGTTTATCAGGACAAGTACAGTCTCGCCACTTCGACGCCCATCCGCCGTGGCGCTACTGTCCTTGACCGCACCAGGCCTATCTGTGCCGACATCCCCAAGGAAGCGCCAGATTTCAGCCATAATCTCGTCCAAGGGCAGGCGCCTTCCCAAGGGAGGACCCAGCGGCACGCCGCCGTGATAGCAGTAAAGCTTGTCTCCCTCGCTCGGGTCGCGGCGCAGACGGAGATCGAGCGCACGAACGCCCATGGTCGCGAGCTGGTCTGTTATGCTTAGCGTCTGGGTCTGGACGAACGGGAGTGATATGCGGGCGGCGGAGTCGTGTGTGCCGGGGATCGTGAGGGCCGAGAGCGGAGTCGAGTCGGGGAGTAAGGTCATCCAACGGCTGCGCGGAACCGAGTCGGCATCGTCGGATGCCTGCATCGCGCCCGCGCTGGGGGCCGGTATCGGAGGCGTTTCTGGGTGTGTGAAGGGCGCATCTTGAGGTTCTCGAGGTGCTCTGGAAGCTAGGTCTGGATGGGGCTCGCTTTGGCCGAGGGTGATACGTATGTTGAGGCGGCGAATGGTGCTGGGCCAGCCAAGGCCATTGTCGTCATCCATTGTTGAACTGCACGAGGCGCCTGTCGCTCGAGAAATAAGGTTGCTGACGAGTTTCACAAACAAACGGTAGCCATGAGTGTTTACCGGCGGTCTTGACCCTCCCGCTGGCCTGGATGGCCGAGGCTGTATCTATCCAGATTCTGGGGAGGACATTGAATGGAGATGACGACTGCAATGGAGGCGACTGGTTGGGGATGATGGTGGCTGGTGAGGCGCGAGCGTCTGACAGGCCCAACAATTCCATCACGGCGCATGATCCCGTCGTCTGAACTGCGACGCCTGACGCGAAGCCAGCCATCAGGCGGGGGCACAGTCCGTCAAAAAGGGATTAGCAGCGTAGGGAGCAGGGATCCGCGCCGTTTCAATGAGTCGGTGGTGCTGCTCTGCAATTGTCGTTCCTTGTGGTTGGCAAGCACACGCTGAGACGAGCCAGCTCAAGACCTGGGGTACGAGTCAACTGACATCATTGATGGAACACAGGGCCGTATCGTACATGCCCATTCAGCCCCCACGTTTCCCAGATGAACGTCTGTGCTTCAATCAAGCCGAGAGCCAGGGTGGTCAAGGAGTCAAGGGCATGAATCTAAGAGAGACAAACTACAGGAAATAGGGAATAGTATCTCAAAAAGGAAAACAGAAAATGGGTAAGCAATAAGAAAGAACGTGGCATCAGGAACGAGACTATCGGAACTGCATGCCATTGCTTGGCCCCTCCTTCGGGGAAATCAGATCAAAGGTGCCTCATCCGCTAATCCAAATCCATCACAACTGGCACCAAGATCAGAACAGCGAGTGGATCTGGGGCAGCGGGCAAAGAACGCAGGCCCAAAAAGGCAAGTCTTTGTGCAACTCAAAACACGAAGAAAAGCCAGATATGATTACATATATTACAGCTGCGACGGTGAATAGAAGGCCATTACCTTGAATTCTATACACGACTTAACCGGACGAATATTCTCAGGAATCTTGAGTGAGAAATAGGGCTTTCCGAGGCATGATGCATGGAGCCGAAGATTCAAGCTGGGGCTGACGGATCAGCTAATCCACAAGGCAAGACCCCTGGCTGCTGCAGGGCGCGCGCTAGCTCAAAGTCCAGATGTCAAAAGTGGATTGATTCAGGGTCGAAGTTGACACGCGCGTGCTTCCTAACTATCATCTGCTTGAAGAGCGCCAAGCATCTTCTCCATCCCATCCCGCCACGACGGGTACACAACTCCCAGGAGCCGGACAAGAAACAGAGCCCGTTAGCAAGGAAAAAAACGCAGCCATGCCTTCGCCTCGGCTGAATGCCCTGCCGTGGCTGCTGCTGGGGGCCTGCACGGCCTTCGCTTTAGCCGGCACCACCGCCCAAGCCCCCGACATGATGACATCCATGAGCCTCGACCGCCTTGACGAGAGGCTACAAGAATGCGAGGTCGTGAAGCAGCTGAACGTCGAGAAGGCTGCCCACCATGCTGCCGAGGCGTCGTCCTCGATGGACGCCCTGCTCGCCATGCTCTTCCCCGGTGGCCCGGCCATCAATGCCATCCTCGCGACCTTGTAGGTGGCCCCTCCCCAGAGTCGAGCGCCCGTCCTCGCGTCTTTATCGAGGCGCCGCTGTCTAGGTACCTGCCATCCAGCAAGACTGACCAGACGGCCCAAACCCGCGCGCAGCTACATATCCGGCCCCCCGACCTTTCTCCTCGCCCTATGCCCCAAGAACATCGACCCCGCCTCGCTCTCCACCATGGTTGCCTTCGCCGTCGGCGGCCTGATGGGCGACACCCTCTTCCACCTGCTGCCCGAGATCTTCGTGGGCGAGGACGAGCCGGAGCGCATGCGCCTAGTCCTCGTCGAGCCGAACCGGAACCTACTGCTCGGCGTCGGAATCCTCGTCGGCTTCATGGCCTTTGTCGCCATGGACAAGGGGCTGCGCATCGCGACCGGCGGCGGGGGCGGGCACGACCACTCACACGGGCACTCCCACTCCCACGACGTGTCCATGCCGAGCGCCTCTTCCACGGCCGTCGACGTGGGCAGCGGCGTCAAGTCGAGAAAGCGCGATACCGCCGCTGCCACTGCCGGCGAGATGACCCCTGAGGGCGACGAGTCCAAGGACAAGGACGCCGCACAGAGCGTCAACTCTAGTGGCCTGCTGAATCTCATGCAAGTCTCTCCCTATGCCTACAAGCCACAAGGAACCGCTCCCCCGCGCAGGCCTGGCCTTCCATGTTACTAACATCGCCTGCCCCATTTAGTGCCGACTTCACGCACAACATCACCGACGGGTTGGCCATGTCGGCGTCCTTCTACGCGTCGCCCACCATCGGTGCGACCACGGCGCTGGCAGTGGCGCTGCACGAGTGCCCGCACCAGGTCGGCGACTTTGCGCTGCTCGTGCAGTCGGGCTTCTCCAAGTGGTCGGCGATCGGCCTGCAGTTCGTCACGGCCCTGGGCGCGCTCCTGGGCACCCTCATCGGCATCGCCGTGCAGGAGCTCGGCGGCAGCGGCGGCGAGCCCGTGCCCATCGCCGGCGGCCTGCTCGGCACCAGCCTGACGTGGGGCGACATGCTGTTGCCCTTCACCGCCGGCACCTTCCTCTACGTCGGCACCGTCGCCGCCGTGCCCGAGCTGCTCGAGACGGGCTCCGGCGGCGCCGCGGCCGAGGTGCGCAAGACGCTGACGCAGTTTGTTGCCGTCGCGCTCGGCGCTGGCATCATGCTCTACATATCGTGGCACTGAAGGGGGGGTGAGCGGATGCGAGCTGCGCCTGCCGGTGCCAGCCTAGGTCAGGTGGATTGTGTGTTGTGTATAAAGACCCATGGCAGGACGTTGATGTGAAGATGCCTGCTCATACTAGACGCACTTGGTGCATACAAATCACGGCATATAGACGTGGCATACATAGAGGCGGCTACCAAAACGCACTTTGGAGTGGAAAGGTCAAACAAGCAACCCCGGCGATGGCGTGACTGTCAGACCGGTCCATAACATCTCGGGCGGTAGCAAAAAAACCTAGCCGGTCTACCAACCTCGCAAGGGGTAAACAAACTCCCACGGCCCTGGTGAGCCGCGAGACAGACATGGGATTCCAATGCCCTGTGCCGAGCTGTGTTCGGCAAGCGACGGCTCAAAGAGGATCCCCGACAGGCCACAGCAAATATCAAGGACAGAAGCGATCCATCTGGCCTCGAACAGCGCACCGGCAGCTGCGGGTCTGCCCGAGAAATTCTCTTATTTTGATAAATGCCCCCACAATAAACGGGCGACACCTCAGCCTCATGCCCCTGCAGACGTTGTTTCCTGTTAGTCACGCCCAGCCCACGTTCCTGAGGTGCCAAGGACAGACGCGGCTCAAAATGACTTCCCGCTGCTTCTAGACGCCGCAGATAGAGGGGGTCCGTGTCTTGGTTTCTAGTAAAAAAAAATTCTTCCTTTTTCCTTCATGTCATGGGTCGCCACGGCGGTGGGATCCTTGTCGCCTCCTCCTGGAACCCGTTCGTGATTCGACGCAAAATATCGCCTTTCAACATGGAAACCAACTACGCCCCTCTCCTGCCACGACGGCGCCAGGCACCTACGGGTCCCCCGTACACAGTATACGACGGATCAGTCCGCGAGTGCTCCGCCCGACGGGCCTTTTTGCTGTCAATGTCCTGCAAAACGAACATCCCCACCGGCTGTTTGTTGCGTAAATCATGTCTAAAGTAGTTACCACCAGGGGAGGAGGCCAGACCGAGGCCGTAAGAGTAGCGGACCCCCTCGCTGATGCCAAGAGACTCGGCCGGTCAGCCACACCCCCCTTCAAATAGAGGGCTTCCATGCAGGCACGGGGGATATATTCCGGCGGGATGCAGCGGCGGCTATGTAAGTCGACGACACTCTACCCCCTGCATGGTGGGACCCGCTGGGCGATCCAACGGTTTGGATGGTGTGTGTCTCTTGTGTTCGGCCGAGGGCTTTTCATCAACATGATATTTCTCGGACCAGCAACCTTTGGGTGCCTGTGCTCGACTTGAAGCATGGAAGAACAATATCGGGCGGTCCAAACAAGACTTGAACCCCTTGAGACGGGGTTGACTTTTCGGAGAGCGCCCATATGGGTCTTCGGCTCTCGGAACCTCCCGACTTCGCACAGAGAAGAAGATCCGAGGCACACCGCAACTCAACTTGCATCTGTGTGCACTATGCGCTCGTCTATCACGCGAAAAACTTGTCGACAAGGTTCAGGCGAAAGCCCATCCACAAAGTTCCAGACGCGGCACCTCGCCCTGGCATTAGGCTTTGGCCGTCTAAAGGCTCTGTTGTGCAACAGTGTGTGTCTAAATGCCCACCGCAACGCAACCTGTTTGGCCAATACAGGTGACAAAGCGTCCCCAATTTCAATGGCACACTCCATGTTACGTAAATCTCGAGCGGCTACACGGGTCTTGAAATTTCGTTTCCGGGTACGACGTCGGATCCATATGCCGGAAGTCAAAAAGGCGTCTGGCGGCGGGTCGTCCGTCTGGCAGTGTGGAAGTCCTCAGCGGCCCAAATCGGGGTGGGCTTGGACACGTATTTTTCCAATTCCACAGTCACCAACATGCACGACGAGGCGCGCCCACGGAGGCCAGGCCGCTTAAACCCGCGGGAATAATGCGGCTGACGATCCTGGCAGCCGTTGAGGCGACAAGCTGTCCGCTTACGGACAAAAAAAAAAAGTGGCCGCGATCGGAGGGAAGAAATGATGGTTGCTTGTCAGCTCTGCCGCTGTGACTAGCTAGCCTCGCATTGAGATGTCACGCATGTCAAGCAAAGGGCGAGAGGCTAAACCCTGCGGGCGGGCTGGCTCTGACCAGCTGTTGTCCCAAAACGGGATGGCGCTGTGGGCGTGGTTGACAATTGACATGGAAGGGTACAAAGCTCGAGTCCGGAGGGCGCAAGCTGGGATAGCCAGAAATTTCTTCTCCACGACGATTGAATGACTGACTGTAGTTGGGGAAACAAGAAGCGGAGTTGAGGCTGAGGATGGACTTGATGGAGCCGGATTTGGTGTATGTCGCATTCTTTACATCATCTGCCAGCAGCCATGGCTCTTGTCCTGCCTTTGTTTTCAAGCAGCCCGAACAGGCTGTGAGCTGCTTCTGAGGCGTACGTCGGAGTTGATGCTTCTCGTGAGCACGAGGACATAAAACCCCAAAAACATTCACTGTCCATTGGCCATTTGGCGGCTCGCCAAGGGGTCCTAAAAGGTTGCGCTGCTTGTCTTGGACATCCTTGGGATGTGATCGGCTCCGCTAGCGCCAATCATGGCATGTCACCGATGAGCGAGGGAGGGGTGGGCGTGCACGGTCGCACAGTTTATCGCACGCTGGGCCCTGTTTTTACTGTGTGGAGAGGGGTGGTGTGTACTTAGTACTTGCTTGGACGTGCACACGCCTTGGATCCCCACGCTAGCCCGTCGAGCGATGACATGTTTTCCATGGCCGCCCTCCCTCGGCGCAGGAAGCCGACGACTGACACACAAACGTATGCCACGACGGCCCCAAGCTCGACGCCCTTCAAGCGAAGGCTTGTCGTTGAGTTCCACACACACCCATGCTCCATTGTTCTCCGGCCTCCTCAGTCCCAATGGGCCTGGTTGTTCCTCTCTTGGGCTGGCACCAAGGTGGTCCAGTTCCTATATAACACAAAGGCCATGCTCTCCTATCCTCCCTCGATGCTTCGTGTGATACAGCACCTTCACTTCCAACGCCGTGTGTGATCAAACACTCGACTCGACCGCCCAGACTTGGACACGAGACACGCGCCACGCCACACCCACACACACCCTCCTTTGAGCTTCCCCCCAAGAACCCCTCCTCCGGTCTAAGTGCACCCAAAAGAGTAGCACAGCTATCCCAAGACCTGCACCTCGCAGGTTTCTTCAGCTTGGCGTGCGGTAACAGGGCTGCCGGCACTCACACTCCCCCACGCATATAGCAAAGTCATCCTGTTGACGGGCTCCTCCGATTCGGGGCTGTTGGCTTTCCCCGCATCTCCTATTTCAGCCGGGCTACCCTCGCGAGACGCCAGCTCCCCATGGTTTGGGGAAAGTTCTCCTCCTCCTCCTCCGCCTCGTCAGCTGCGAGTAGCGATGCCAGCACCATCCACAACGGCTCGTCGGGCAAGATAAGCTTTGCAAAGTTCCAAATGGAAATCCAGCTCAAGAACCATTTTCGGTCAAAGGTGTACAACACGGGCGCGCCCATCGAGGGCGATGTGGTCATCTCGACGCACCGCGACGTCCGCTTCGACAGCCTGCAGATAATCCTGCTAGGCATGGCGCGGACGCGGGTCGAGGGCATGGGCGCGCCGCACGCCACGACGCACACGCTCCTCAAGCTCGCCATGCCGGTCCCCCAGTCTGCGTACCCGGTCCCGCGCGTGCTCGAGGCCGGGCGCACCTACCGCGTCCCCTTCAACTTCGTGGTCCCCCCGCATCTGACCATGGGAGCCTGCGCCCACGCCGTCGACGCCGACCACGTGCGTGACTGCCACCTCGCGCTCCCGCCCACCGTCGGCTTCTGGGAGCGCGACGACCTCTCGCCCGAGACGGCCCGCGTCGAGTACTGCGTCAAGGCCCGCGTCCTGCGCTCGCCCGCCGCCGACGAGGCCGCCGCCGCCCACGGCGTCAAGCTCATGGAGGCCGCCGAGCAGGTCACCATCCTGCCCACCTTTGGCGAGCGGCCCCCCGTGTCCGTCGGCAAGGCCGACCGCCTGTACCGCATGGCAAAGTCCAAGACGCTCCGCAAGAACCTGCTCTCGTCCCGCGTCGGCCGTGTCACCGCCTCGGCCACGCAGCCCAGCGCCGTCTTCCTGCGCGCCGACGGGCTGGCCGCGTCCGAGACGGCCGCGCGCGTGCGACTCGAGTTCGAGCCCGCTACGCCCGACGCGGCCCCGCCCCGCGTCACGGCCGTGTCGGCCAAGCTGGCCGCCTACACCTTCTACAGCTCCACCGCCATGACGTCGCTGCCCGACCTCGTCAGCCCCAGCCCCCGCAGCAGCGCCGTGCTGGACCGGCGCGCGTCCTACGCCACCACCGTCCCGCTCTTCTCGGCCCACGTCGACGGCTTCAGGTGGGAGCAGCGCCCGAGGCACCAGGCCCGCCGGGACTCGGGGTACTCGTCTGCCGCCGACCTAGATGGCGCGCGCAAGTCATCGGCGTCCCCCGTCCTGCACACGTGCGACATCGAGGTCCCCGTGCGGCTCCCGTGCGGCGGCGGCGCCAAGGGCGGCCGGGGCAAGACCTTCATCCCGTCCTTCTCCAGCTGTATCGTGTCGCGCGTCTACGTGTTGCAGCTGTCTGTGGCGCTGGCCGGGTCCGGGTCCGCGACGCTGTCGCTCCGCCTGCCCATCCAGGTCGCCGCCGAGGCCGCCGCCGGCCTGGGCATGGCCGAGGAGGAGCTGCCCGACTTCGAGACGGCGCTCGAGGAGGCCGAGGCGGACCGCCACCTGCGCCCGCGCGTGCTCTCGGTGCCGGACCACCGCTTTGTCGAGACGAGCGAGCTTCCGGGCTATGACTGAGGCTTTTCGTTCATTGAAGTTTCTCCCCCTATTCCCTTTATCGCTGTTTCATCATTCCTTTTCTGGTGGGCTTGGAAATCACAAAAATCATGATACCCTATAACGGCAGTTTCGGCTAGGCTACTCCTGTGTGTTTGTTCTCTTTACGTTTTGCTCGAATTTCTCGCCTTGTCAAAAAGATTGGCAATACCTATCTACCTACGTAAAATAAAAGAATAATATCAAATTCTATCAAATTAGCTGTTATTTGGAGCGGAATAATGCATATGTGTGACGATAACTTCCTTTGTTTCTCGGGCGGGTCGAGGGTGTGTTTAAATGCAGAGCGTTTATGCATGCGGGATCCCTTTTCTCGTTAACCACGACAAGAACGTATTTTAACCTCCAAGTTTATTAAAATTAACTGGCGAGATTGTCAACAGAGCAGCCTTCTTGTTTGAATTGTATCCTGGCCCACAGGCGTCTCTGAGGTAGGCATGACAGGAAGGGAAAACCTAGCAAGCTGTGTCCGCACAGCCCCACCCTATATAATGCCCACATGCATGCCATTTTCTTATCGTTCAATCAATGGTTAAACGGTTGCAGGGTGTGTCGTATAGGGGTTAGTACACTTCGTTGTGGCCGAAGAAACGCAAGTTCGAGTCTTGCCACGCCCAATTCTTTTTGTGAATAGAGCTTTGGTTTCCTTTTGTTATTTTTTTTGTGGCCGGTTTATAAACACCTCCTTCGTTGCATCGCCCAAAGGTAGGGTTTTGGCTGGAAAATGTGTATCTCTTATAGACCTTTCAATCGTTATTACAATTACAGGCATCGCTAACCATCGTTAAAAATCCAAAACTCCTCGTCCGGCTCCCAATGCACGTTCCTTTTGGCCCTCGGTCACGACCCCTTCCCGCCGTTTCCCCTCCAAAACTCCGGGTCCCCACCCTCGCCGCAGCCGCGCCCGCCATCCCTCGGTCCACACCCACGGCAGCCGGAACGCGTCGTCGCGCCCCGTGAACACGGCGCCGCCGCCGCCGCCGCCGCCG